AGTATCTGTCATTAGTTAACCTTCTGGTTATTATAGGTAACCTGCAGTTTTCTGGTTTTAATCACTTTAAGATTACTTCTGCACTAGTGTAATAATATCCAGATTATTAAACATACAGTGCGATGGGCCTCGCACGTATTTTAACTATCACTTTTCCAAATTCGGATTCCAAACGCTTAATTAAAACCAAACCAAACCAAAACGAATATGAAAGATAGGATACCCATTTCAATTAATCTAGGTGACAAAACAAAAATAGCGGTTGCCATGGGTGGAAAACAATTTTAGAATAGAATCCTGGCTGGGAAATGATTCTTAAATTCCTGGCTGGGAAAATAGAATATTAGTATAAATGCTGGCTTGGAAACCGTTTTTAACGTATACTGATTCCTGGCTGGTAATTTCGATATTTTTTTTTTCCTGGCAGGCATTGGAGCTGATATTTTTTTCACAGTAAGGTTAATAATTAACTCTATTAGGTGTTAAAACACTTGCCAAGTCAGTTTCTAGACGTCGTCCTGTGCAAATTCGCGAAACTGGTCCGTTAGTGACCAGCTAATCCCAATAACGTTGTTCAGTTGTAAAGACATGACACAACAACAAAGTCATTTGCATAATATCGTGTTTTTTGATTTCTTTGCGAGAACATTCAAGATAAAGCTCAAAAATTTCTTTTTTATGCAAATGAATGCATTGTCTTCATGTCTTTACAAGTGAACAACGTTAATGGAATTCCCTGTACGTCAATAACGTATATTTTTTAATGCTTTCAATATTTTTCAAATTGATAATCTATTTTTATAATTTTATACAAATATTAGTGAAAGACATGTAAAAACAAGAAATAAAAATCACACTGTACAGTAAAAGTCTGACATTTTGCATAAAGGCCTGGCTGGAAGAAAATCGGAAATAGTAGGAAAAAAACAATGATTACTCCTTTTTGTTTTGAAATTCGTTGAATTTAAATTACTGTTCGTCACTTTCGGTCCCTAAATCTATTGTTTCTTTGTTTTGTTTGTTTTTTTTGTTTGTTTTCACTTGTTTGTTTGTTCGTATATAGAAACAATTTTTGGAAGTGAGCACGACTAATGTATCAAGTAGCCTCCTATATAACTAGTTGGGGAAGGAGACAGTAGAATTCCGACTGAATATAAATAACTAAATCAATTGATTTTCATGAGGCAAAAGCACTTTTTACACTGTCTACTGTCCCAACTAGTTATATAGGAGGCTACTTGATACATTAGTCGTGCCTCCAAAATCTTTCTAAAAATATTTTTTTTAATGATTTACATTATTTATATATATTATTGTAGAATTTCATAGCATTCTAAGAGCCGTACAGTTTATTTTTTTCGTCGTTTGGTGCTTCCTGGACATACCATAGTTTCTTACTACATCGATACTGAAAATCATAGAATCCAAGATGGCGGCCGTCATTGTAATAAATCAATCAGTACTTTTTAGTTGTTGCTCTATTTTTTTTGGTCTTTTTCCCATTACTTTATTCATTTCTACAGATTTTAATTAGTTTTTTATTAAGTCAGCTAAGATATCTGACCCGAACTTTCGTTTTAAGTGACAACGCTTTTCAAAAACCGGTTTTAAAACAGGTTTTAGGGGTTTTTATGATAACGATCATGTGACTTCCATGTGCACATCAACGATTGAAACCAACACACCCCATCAATGACTTCTGTGACTCTGCACTTATAATAAAATCAAATTGCGCTGAACTATCTTTTAAAGGTAAGAGTAGAGCTAAGGAAGGTCTTCATTTGCTTGWCAGAGAATCTCAGTTTAGAATCCCATTCCCAGAAAGAAAATCTTAAAGAACAGTTATAAAGTAGAACAAAAGTTGCAGCCTTCTCCTGCTACAAGATTATACAAGATTATAGCAACCGCATGATATCCAGAGACAGAGACATATCTAGACCTATATCTAACAAGATTCTATTCTGCAGTCTTCCATAACAATATGGTCATCCATTCATGACTGTTTCCAACGACCGATACTTAGTTAATATATTCTGACATAATCTGCGTTTATAGTTTATTTGGGAAACACCCCGAGTCATTTGACTAGTCGTCAGTCCATTGTCTTCGTGTTAGCGCATCGGACTTCAAAAGAACAACTCCCATCTGAAGTTCATCTATAAGTCTTCGTGAAATATTCTTTGATCAGACATCAATATAAAAGGTATAGTGTGGCAATACAAATTTGAATTTAGTTGAGTAACTCTTAAACAAACACAAATACAGATAAAGAGGTTCCGTCCATGGTTATTCATGGTATAGTGTTGTGCGTCGAG